GTTTTGGACCCCAGGAATTCCTTTTGTTCTTGGTCACTGGGGAAGAAAATATACCCTCACCTCCTCACCCCAAGCTGATCACTTCCCTTTTCCTCACAGGCACAGGAGGAGGCTCGGCGCAACAGGCTGATGAGGGACATGGCTCAGCTCCGCCTTCAGGTGGGAAGCGGGGGCCCGCGTGCTCCCCCTCCTCCGGATTGCTCATTGCTTAAACCCCACCTGCCGATCCTCACTCTCCGGCCGCAGTCCCTCATGCTTTCCCCTGTGGCCCTCCGTGTCTCTCAGACCCCTGCCCGCTGCTCATTGGCCACCGAGCCTGCATGCCCTGGCTGCCTTCCCTGGCGTCTCTTCTCGTTCTCCTTCCCTCACCCTCTATTTCCATCTCCATTTTGCCCAAGCCCATTGGTAGAGAGTCCCTTGTCCCCTTAGCAGGAGGAGGAGGTCCTTAAGAGCACTTGCGCTCCACTCCTCCCTGCCCGGGCCGCAGGCCCCCCCCAGCTGCACCGTCTGCCTTCTCTCACCAGCTCGAGGTTTCGCAGTTGGAGGGCAGCCTGCAGCAGCCTAAGGCCCAGTCGGCCATGTCCCCCTACCTCGTCCCTGACACCCAGGCCCTCTGCCACCACCTCCCTGTCATCCGCCAGCTGGCCAGCAGTGGCCGCTTCATTGTCATCATCCCGAGGACCGGTAAGCATATTGGGGAGGTTGGGGGACAGGTAGACTCTGGGCTCTGGGATTGAGAGACCCTTATTTGGGGCCCAGCTTATACACAGTACCTCGGTCAAGTCATACAGCATCTGTGAACCTTGGTCACTTCGTCTGTGAAAGGGGCATAACAGCCCGTTAGCCCTGCCTCACAAGACAGTTGGGAGAAACAGGTGAGAGAATGCCCAAGTGAGAGCACTTGGTGAATTGCCAGGTCCAGCGGGTAGAAGGTCGTGTGTGAAGAACTTCTTTTCCTGCAGTGTGTACCGGGGTGAGCTCAGGTACTTGCTGCAGGGCCCCTGCCGCAGCAGCCTGAGCACATCTGTTTCGTCTCTCCCCACCGCCATCTTGCTCCCCAGTGATTGATGGCCTGGATCTGCTGAAGAAGGAACACCCAGGGGCCCGGGATGGGATCCGCTACTTGGAGGCAGAGTTTAAAAAAGGGAACAGGTGAGTGAGCCTGGCGGGATCCGGAGCTGCTGGGGTGAGTAAGACACTCACAGCCTGTGCCCACCGTTTGCTCACTGCGTGGGGAGGGAGACAGAAAATCAGAAGTCGGGGTCTTTAGGGGCTGACATAGGGGGTGCCCTGAGGAGCCCGGAGCACTGACCTGCTGTCCACTCGCCTCTGGACAAGCACGTGACCAGCATCCCCCAGGGAGAGGAGAGCAGATCCCCCTACCCCCCAATCCAAGCTATGGGTTCCTTTTTAAGGAGGGGGGTCTCCTGCTCTAGTTGGGTCAGGTGATCAGGTCCTCCAGGACGGGAGTGCCTTCATCAGGGCTGCCCAGGGCCCCCACCTCCCACTGAGCTGAGGCCGTGGGGAGGCTCAGACCAACCAGCGTATGCAGGTGCTCAGCCCCCCGCAGGCCCTTCCTTCTGGCTGCTGGGGCCAGGAGAGGACTGGGCAGGGCATTAGGGAGCAGGGAGAATGTTCCCTTCTCCCTGCTGGCTGGTCCACTCCCTCCTCTGCATCTGCCCTTGGCTGCTCAGGAAGCCAACAAAGCCTGCTTGTTTGGACCTTGTCTCCAGAACCCCTGACTTGAAAAGCATTTGCTGCTTCTCGCCTCCCAGCTCCTCCCCTGAGAGGAACCAGAGAAGTGATGTTATCAGGAGGAAGAGCAAGCAGGGCCTAGGGCCAGGAAGCCGCTTCAAACAGACCCGTGATAGGAGCTGGGCCCCCCACCCCCTCCTGCAAAGCTGGGCCCCTAGAGCCACAATGGCCTGCTTTGTGTGAACTACCCCCATCCTTTGCCCCCACCTCCACTCTCACGTACTCTGCAGGTACATTCGCTGCCAGAAAGAGGCGGGAAAGAGCTTTGAGCGGCAGAAGCTGAAGAGGCAGGATGCAGATGCCTGGTAAAACTTTACCCTCACTCCTGGGGCCTCAGGCTGCCCGCCTTGCTCCTCCATGAGCATACTGGGAGCACAGGCCAGGGCCAGGCCTCCTGCCAGTCTTGCTGGGACGGAGTGAGAAGCCTGCTCCAGCACCTGAGCCCCTGCCCTGTACAGAAGGGTCAGCCCCTCTGCCCTGAGATGCTTGGCCTTGTCCTCCCAGTCTCCTGGGCCTCTTCCTAGAGTACAGCCCTCCAGGCCAGCCTCTGGCACCCCTGCCCGGCTCCCTGCTTCTTCTTACTCCTCCTCAGGTGCCTCCCAGACCCGAGCTCCCCCTGGAGATGTGGTGTTCAGGCTGTGCTAATGCTGGCTCATGGCCCCTCCTCTCCCCCAGGACGCTCTATAAGATCCTGGACAGCTGCAAACAGCTGACTGTGGCCCAAGGGGCAGGCGAAGATGACCCAAGCGGCATGGTGACCATTGTCACAGGCCTCCCACTGGACAACCCCAGCTCCCTTTCAGGCCCCATGCAGGTGGGTCGTGGGCTGGGAGGTGGAGGGCAAGGTGGGATGGAAGGAGGTAGGAGAGTGGACGCCATCCTCACGCCCTCCATACAGCTGCCCTTTTTCCGTCCCTCTTTCCCTGGCCCCTGGACAACTCGTCCTGTAGTTTAGGAGGCCAGGCCCCCTCATATCTCTCCCTCCACACCACAGGCAGCCCTGCAGGCCGCTGCCCATGCCAGCGTGGACATCAGGAATGTTCTGGATTTCTACAAGCAGTGGAAGGAGATTGGCTGAGACTGACCCCCAGGCCCTGCAGGGGCTGACTCCAGATCTCTCCTGCTCTCCCTGGCAGCCAGGTCCACCACCTGTAGTCACCCCCCAACACGCAGACTCACGCACGCACACAGGAAGGAAGCCTAGCTGCGCAGAGGCTGCAGGGAGGGCCCAGGAGCTACGGGGAGGGCGGGGTCCCCTGTTGCTAAGCCAGCGTCAGGAAAGCAAGGAAAGCGCTTGGAGCAGGAGAGGCCTGTGGGCCCCAGGCCAGCCTTCCCGCCTCAACCCCCTGCTGTCCCCAGGGCAGGTGGCAGGCATGGGTGTCTGTTTCATTGGAGTGGTTCCTGGACCTCTGAGGGGAAGGAACAGCAGAAGGGAGTCTTCTTCCTCACCAAGATGCAGGGTGGTTGGGGGGCAGGAGTTCGGACCCTCGGAGCCCTGGGGGAAGAGCTGAGTGATACCTAATGTCTGGGTGGTTCTCTGCAGACCCTTGCCCTCCTCAAGGACCACCCACCCTCCTTTCATCGCCCTTTGTGGGAACTGGGCAGCTCTGGAGCCAGGGGCTCTTCCAGCAGTGGGGCCTGGTGGGCCTAGAGCTGCCTGTGGGCCCGGGGCCACCTGCACATCTGGAGCTGCCTGCGTACCTGGAGCCACCTGCGCACCTGGAGCTGCCTGCGCTGAGTAGCACGGCCAGGCAGGGCCAGGCGTGCACTGCCCTCCTCCCGGCTGCAGGGGCCTGCCACCAGCCTCTGCTTTCTGCCTCCCTCAGGCTCGCTTCCCAGGCCGGGAGCTTAGCTGCTATGCTGGGGCTAGCCGGTTGCCAGTGAGAGGAGACGAGTGCAGCCTGCGGTCACTGCCCGCTCGCTGTCTTTCCAGGGAGGGCTTTGCTCACAGCTGAGGGGAGAGCTGAGACTAGGGGCCTGCATTCACATGGGCAGGAGAAAGAGGCCCCTTGAAGCCGCCTGGTCGGGGGCCCACTTCCTGATGGGTTTCCCTACTTCTGCGCTTCCCCGGGACTGAAGAGCTGGTGGGGCTGAGCATGAGGCTAGCTTTGGGGTGTCGAGGTGAATGTGGGAATGGTGGGGGCAGAGATCATGAATCGCTCAGGGCCTTGTCGGAACACGGAGAGCAGGGCCGCGGGAGGTGGGGGCTGGGCGCACCTCAGCTTCCCTCAGGCTGGAAGTATAGCATGGGGGGCGGGGTGGGGGTGAGGATGGCAGCTCTGCTACCCCCTCTCCCCCAGGGCTAGCCCAGCTTCCAAGCTGCTTAGAGGAGAGCGGCTCCTTGCCTCCAAGACAGCAAGTCTGGGAAAACCTGGGGGGTGGGAGTGTGGAGTCACCCCTGGTCCCTGACAGACTGAGACAAGTATCACTTAATAAAGATGCCCCAAGCCCACTCCCCGTCTGCTGGTCCCTTTCTGTACGGAAGTCTGGGAGGGGGGGCGTTGGGGATTACGTGCTGCATTGCATTTGGAAAGGCTTCTTGGAGGTGGCGGGGACAGAGCAGCAAGAGACAAGCACTTAGGACAAAGGCCTCGAGGTGGTTTTGTGAGAGGCACTATCAAGTTCCTTTGATCCTGTGAGCTGAGGGTGCCCTCACAAGGGTGATGTTGAAGGGGCTGGGGGAATGGCACCAAAAGCCAGGAGGTGTGAATGCGTTGTGCACAGCTGCCTGGGCGCCTTCGTAGGGACGCTTCTCTCCAGCCAGATTCTCTGGATGGGGAGAAACTCCCCCTCAACCAGCCTGAGTCCCCATTCCTGTCCCTCCGCAAGGACTGGCATCTCAGGTTGTATCAATGGGGAAGGTAAATACGCTTGGAGAGTCCCTCGTGGTTGAACCAACATTTACCAAAGGCATTTGCTCTGAACCTTGCCCAGTTCCAGGTGCTAAGGGGCAGGAAAGTATGGTGGGAGGTGTTTCTGAAGTCTAGTTCGAGCTCCATGGGAGTTTGCATTCTTCTGCCCAGCCTGAGGCAGAGCCATCGTCAACTTCTGGGAGCGCCTGGAACTGGGGTGCAGGCAGCCTGCTCCCAGCCTGGCTTGGGCCCCTAGCCTGTTCTACCAAGTCTGATCTAATGGGGTTGGGTCAGGCTGGATGGGCTGGCTGTGTGAAGGAGGCCGAGTGAGCTGACTGCTAATGGGGCTGGGCCACCCCGCGCTGCTCTCTGGAGGCTGGACAAGGCTGGGATTGTTCCCTGGCTCCCCTTTGTCTCCCTACTCCCCGCCCAGGCCTGGCCCGCCTGCCCGGCCACTCTCCCTCCCTCCCCGTAGCCTAGCTGGCAGGAGCCTGGACTCCGCCCGCCCGGGGAGCCGGGGCCTGCTGACCCACCAGCTTAGGAGCACCCCTCAAGCTCAGGGTAAGAAAGCTCACTTGAGATGCTGACACCTCTTACTCTGGGGAAACAGGTAAAGCTGCTCTAGCTACTCCCGTTTCCATGGTAACAGGGCACACCTCACCCTACTCCAGAGACCTCCGAACCCTACTGCTAAGGGAAGGGACCCTGAGAAGAGAGTGCCCGGCATCTTCTTCCTCTCCCCGCCCCTCCTCCGCAGGATGGGCAGCACCCTCACCCATCTTAAAACGCCGCTGGGGTGCAGGGACTCGGGACCAGGGCTGCCTTGTGCCCAGCTGCGTCCCCAGCATCCAGCTCGGACAGAGGGTTCCCACACTGCTGAATGGCAGAGAGGCGCAGAGGCCTGGGGGACCAGCCAGCAGCCTGGGGCCACAGTGTGTTCGGCACAAACGGACTAACGGACGGCCGAAGCAGGCAGCGGCAGGAGGCAGGGTGGGGCGGGGCTGCAGAGTTGCTGGGAAGTTTTGGCTTGGGAGGAGGGAGGGGGGAGTGTCCTATTCTCCCTCCCGGTGCGGCTCCACCCGCCAGGCTGGCCCAGCCCCTGCGCTTGTGCCAAGGAATGTGCCCGGGAGAGGTGGCCTGAGAAGGGGATGGGGCAGCACTGCAATCTGGGGCTGAGGGGCAAGGGACTCAAAAGGGGCAAGGACCTTCCTCAAATGCTCCCCAGGGGCACAGTAACCTCCTCAGGGAGAGCCAACTATCCCCTAATGCCTTGCCCTGCTGGCAGCATTGGGCCTCTCCAGGAATTTTCCCCGAGGGCCATGAGACTTCTGTGTTCAGCCCAGGCACTGTGGGCCAAGGAGCTTTCTGGTGGGATGGGGGATGCTTGGGCTTTGTCCACACTGGCCTCCAGGAGCCAGGGTTCTCTGAGACAAACTGGGGGCTGGGGGCCTGGATCCATGGCCTGGGTTGGTAACTGAGGCAGCCTCCCAGCTGGGGAGGACCAACTCCTCTCAATGGGTGGGGGGTGCAGAATTTACGAAGGCTAGGATGGGGAACTTGAACAGCAGCCTGGGAGGGGTCGGGGTTATGTCATATGATGGCTGGAGGCAGGCGCTAGCCCCAGCAGGAAGCTGGGCCAGCCTCTCGTCAGCACCCAGCTACCACCGGCCCACACACACATAGCCTGAGCCCTGGGGCTCAGTGACCAGGCCCAGCCTGAACCTGGGTGAAGAGGGTCTGTGAATCGGGACAGACACTGACACCCCCTCCCACACCCCCCACTCTCTCCAGGTCACCGTGGAGGCTCCAGGCCACCATGCTCAGCCTCAAGCTGCCCCAACTCCTGCAAGTGCACCAGGTCCCCCGGGTGAGGGCTCGACCCACCAACCCTCAGTTTCCAGGGGAGCAACTGGGACACAGGTTCTCGCTTAGCTATTGGGGAAGTCCCTCCTGCGGGCTAACTCCTATCCCTCCCATTCCAGTGTGACACTCTTCCTCTGTTCTCTGAGAACACACTTGTGCATGCCCCTCTGTCCAGAGTCCTCCCCAGAGCACCTTGTCCGTCCCCCTCCGCCATCATCCTATCTTGTCCCCTTACTCTGCCTTTTCTCCTGTTTCTCATCTGCCCTCTGGGTATTGATACCTGTGGTAAGATGGTTTAGTTTGTTTAGTGTGGCTTTGGGGCCACTGTGACCTCCAGCCCATCCTCTTCAACCCTGCTTCCAGAGATCCCTCCTAAGTGAAAAGGCTCCCGGCACAGTGACTCGCTTCTTCTCTCCCCCTCCTACCATCGCCCCAGGTGTTCTGGGAAGATGGCATCATGTCTGGCTACCGCCACCCCACCAGCTCGGCCTTGGACTGTGTCCTCAGCTCCTTCCAGATGACCAACGAGACGGTCAACATCTGGACTCACTTCCTACCCACTTGGTGAGGGGAGGCACTGCCCCAGGCTGCAACCTTGAGCTTAGAGGGGGTACCCAGGCGGGCAGGGGCCGTCCAGGCCCACGGGCAGCAGCAGGAGTCGCGGGGGTCCGCGGCGGCCTGAGCACGTGCCCGCCGCAGGTACTTCCTGTGGCGCCTCCTGGCGCTGGCCGGGGGCCCAGGCTTCAGGGCAGAGCCATACCACTGGCCGCTGCTCATCTTCCTGCTGCCTGCCTGTCTCTACCCCTTCGCGTCGTGCTGCGCGCACACCTTCAGCTCCATGTCGCCCCGCGCGCGTCACATCTGCTACTTCCTAGACTACGGCGCGCTCAGCCTATACAGCCTGGGTGAGCCCGGCGGCGGCGGGAGGGAGGGGTGTGACGCGTGGTGGGGGGAGCCTCCGCCCGCCCCAGTCCTTCGAGCCTCAGCTCCCGCCGCTACCGCTCCGCAGGCTGCGCCTTCCCCTATGCCGCTTACTCCATGCCGGCCTCCTGGCTGCACGGCCGCCTGCACCAGCTCTTTGTGCCCACCGCCGCACTCAATTCCTTCCTGTGCACCGGCCTCTCCTGCTACTCCCGGTGAGTTCGCCTAAACACGTGGACACCTAGAACCCCAGGAAGGCCAGCGATCTTGTGCCTGTGCTGAGGCTCTTGAATAGTAATAGCAACAAACGGGACCATTCACTGAGGACTGTCGCCCGACCCTATACACTAGCACCAGACCTCTGCTGTCGCCCTTAATTCTCACAGCCACCTAAGAGGCTTTATCCCCATTTCACAGATGGGGTCATTTACACAGATGGCCATGTGCTCTAAGGGTCCCCTAGCCACTAAGCTACAATAACATTCATCTCGTCCCAAGGCCAAAGGGTCCTCCTGCCCTTCTCTGACGCCCACCTCAAGCATAGGGATGGTGACCAACCTGCCTTTCCCTCCTTCCTGCCAGGTTTCCCGAGCTAGAAAGCCCTGGGCTCAGTAAGGTGCTCCGCACAGCTGCCTTCGCCTACCCCTTCCTGTTCGACAACCTCCCGCTCTTCTATCGGGTAAGGGTGCCTGGGCCCCTGCCCGGTCTCCTGCTCTCCCCGTCTGACCCTCAGGGCTCCCACTTCCAGTCCTGCGCCTCAGTCTCTAGCCTCAGCCCTGCTGCCGGCCCTGCAGGCCCAGCACGAGCCCAGCCGTGCCCACTCCTGTCTGCATCCTCACCAGACCCCAGACAGCCCCTTCCACTCCAGAGCGCCTCCCCAAACCTGCTCTCCCGTTGGCAGCTCGGGCTGTGCTGGGGACGGGGCCGCGACTGCGGGCAGGAAGCACTGAGCACCAGTCACGGCTACCACCTCCTCTGCGCACTGCTCACGGGCTTCCTCTTCACCTCCCACCTGCCCGAGCGCCTGGCACCAGGCCACTTTGACTACATCGGTAAGACAGGGCCAGGGGGAGACCGCTTCCCAGAAGCACACGGTGAACTGGGTGAATGGAGTATCCCAGCCGGAAAGATGGAAACCAATGATAGGAAGGACTTCCCTGTCGTCCTGTAACCAGAGGGTGTCCGGAAGGGTCCCCAGGGCCCACCCCGCCGCTCAGATAACAGCAGAACTAGTCGTATGTCGTTACTATGCCAGGAGCTGTGTGCCTGTCGCCATGCGCTCCTTCCGACAGCTCTGGGAAGCAGGCTTTCCTATTTCCAATGTGCAGGGGGAGTAGCAGGCCCAGAGCAAGGGCTGACTGGCTCCAGGTCACAGGGAGAGTCAGGGAAGCCCTGGGAATGGGGGATGTGTCCTGACCTGCTCCCCCTCCCCACAGGCCACAGCCACCAGCTGTTCCACATCTGTGCCGTGCTGGGCACCCACTTCCAGCTGGAGGCGGTGCTGGCCGATATGGGGTCACGGCGAGCCTGGCTGGCGGCACAGGAACCTGCCCTAGGCCTGGTGGGCACGCTGGTCACTCTAGGCCTGGTGGTGGCTGGGAACCTGCTCATCATTGCCGCCTTCACAGCCTCCCTGCTACGGGCCCCGGGTTCATGCCCCTTGTTACATGGTGGCCCACCGGAGGGGGGCACCAGGGCCAAACACCAGTGAGCCCACCCCTGCCCCTGCCCTGGAGGGAGGCAGAGGCCAGGCTCCAGCAGTGCTGAGTTGGGGCGTGTCTGAGCCTGGAACGCAGAGAGGCTGCAGATCGAGTGCAGAGAAGAGAAGGCAGAGGGGAGAGGGGTGCTGGGGAGGCTGGCTGAGAGGGGGTGTGTGAGGTGCTCTCGAGGGGGCCGGGGTACGTGCTGAGGGTCTGAGAGGGGAGAGGCGTGTGTCCAGGCCAGGGCTGCCCCCTTCCCCTGCCCCAGGCTGGGATGGGGTTGTTGGGGCCCCCTCATCCGGCCCCACTTCTGGTGCTCCTGGAAGTCTCTGCTCAGCCCAGGGAAGAACTAACACGGCCCACCCTGAACGCCCACTAACCCACCCAGGAGGCCACACCCTTGCCTCCCGCCCCTAAGCCAGGCAGTGCCATCTGCCAGCAGCTATTTGCCTTTAGAGATGAGTCTGTCCTTGTCACAACCTGGGGACGACCCTGTCCCCAGCCATGTACTCAGTGTGCCCAGGCCCTTGGGGTCTGGGCCGCTGTGGGTGTGTCCTGGACCGGGTTGAGGTGGGAGGAGGGCATGCCGGGCTAGAACCCTAGTTAGCCTTTAGGAAGTCACCTTAAATGCTTTCTGGAACAAGGCAGGTACAAATAAATAAAGAGTCGATTTTAGGAAGCACTTTCTAAAATCTGAAGAAGGTAAAGCCTCACCTCCACCTCCACCTCCCTTCTGAACTCCAGAGACCAGACAAAGAATCATCAGCCCACCAATTCCTCTTCTGGAGTTTATTTTGGGAGCAGCTGGAGTGACAGGAACCCCCATGCTTGCCGGGCGGGGAGGTGAGGGCGAGGGGAGAAGGGGTCGTGGGGAGGGGCCGGGGTGGCCAGCTGGGCCGGCAGGACTGGAGGGCCTAGGCCGTGCCGTAGAAGCGCCGATAGGCCTCCTGGAAGCCGATGTGGTCAGCCAGCTCATCACAGTCTGGGTTGAGCTCACACACCTCCTTCTTGGGCTCCAGGGGATCTGGGTAGGGGGCTGGAGCTCTGCGAAGCCCAACACAGTGCTGTCGCACCCGTGCAAACACCCCAACAGCTGCCTCCCCTCTCCCAAAGCACACGGGGCTCCGGAGTCCCAGCCAGGGGGGATAGCCCTGCCCCACCCCACAGGCGGCTCCTGCTCCGACCCCTCCCGGCCCACCCTGGAGATGCAGGGCCTGGCCCAGCGCTCCCATTTCTCTTACCCCAGCCCTTGATCCAGGTAGCGCCGGGGTCTCCTCACCACCTCGCTGCCCTCTCGCTTGGACATGAAGGCTGTGGAGCAGAGGGGGGCAGGGATCAGGTGGCTCCAGGTTTTGGGGGGCAAGACGGGAAGCAGGCTGGCCTTCCTGACAGCCAGGCAGAAGCCAGCAGGAGGGATGGGGCTAGGGGACCCAGGCAAGTGGAGGGGCTGGGGACTGGGAGTGGGAGGCACCATGGGGCCCTGTGTGCCTAGCTCCACTTTGGCCACCTTATACCTGCACCTTTGCTGGACTCGGCGCCGCTGGGCTTCGAATCTGCAAAGGGAAGGGAGCTGGTTCACCCCTGCTCACCCTGAGGGCCCTCATCCTCCTTCCCCTGCCAGCAGCTTGCTCTCCCCTCCTCTCCCTCCACACAGCTGGACAGGGCAGCGGAGAAACCGGTTGAGCCTGCAGGACGCTGGTTAGACTGCAGAAGGGACACGGAAGGGTGGAAGTGGGATACTTACCTACCTGGCCAGCGAGGCAGAGTGTGGCCAGGGCCAGCAGGGCCAGGAGCGTGAGGGGCCTCATGGTGTGTCCTTCGGTGGCTGCGTTGGGACTCAGCTGCTTTGTCCCTTCCAGCCTCTGGCATCCTTTATATCCTCTAGTGGTACCCCGGAGGCGGGGTGGGGGGGGGCCTGACCATGGTGGGGGCAGTCATGGGGGATCTGCAGAGCTATTTGGAGGTCATCCACCTGGCTCTGTAGGCCAAACCCCAAAGGATGTTGTGGTCGGGAGCTGCGGCTGCCTGGGCAGTTCCTGGGAGTGATGGAGGGGGTGGGCCGCAGTCTGCGACCACCAGGCTCTGAACATGGCCTCCAGGACCTGGGGCCAGGGGGTGGCTTCAGGCCCCCAGCCCCTACTCACTCAGGCTGAGCACTGGCAGGGCAGGCCGGGGGTGGCAGGGGGAGTCTGGAGAGGAAGGGGCTCCAAAGTCTAAAATAGCTTAGAGCCGAGCTGGGTTCCAGCTCTTTGGAAGCCTGTGATTTATACCGTCGGCCCGAGGGCAGGAGCCAACCCCAGGGAGGAAGTGCCTGTCAGCGCCCTGGCTCACCCGGGGGGCTGTGCCCCAGCAAGACACTCGGGGCAGCCTGGCGTGGGGGCAGCTGGACGCTGGTCAGGCTTGCGCATCAGGCAGGGGAGAGGCTGGGGCAGCACAGGGCCAGAGCCAGGTGCACAAGGCTGGGGTCTCTGGGCAGGCCAGGTGGCTGTGGAGTGGTGCCAGCCAGGTGTGGAGGGGCGCGGGCGCAGGACAGGGAGGTGAGGCGCTGCGGCGGGCCCCCTTCACTGTGTCCCTGGCGGGGTGGGCAGGCAGGGAGCTGGAGAGCACCTCGGGGCTCCTGGCCCTCCGGGTCTCTTCCTGCCTTGCAGCTGCCACTCAGTGTAAACAACCTCGGGACGCCCCTCCAACCCCCGCAGCCCCCGTAAATGATAGGAAGGGCTGTTCTTTAAGGGTCAGAACGTCCCTGCCTGAAAAATGCTCTGTCCCACACCAGAGAGCAGATACTGCCTCAGGTCAGCTTGGGGACAGTAAGGAGGGTGTCCTGGCACCTTCTCTGTCTGAGCCTGCCCACCCAGGCTCAGGACCATCTGTCCAACCCGGCAAACAAACGAGAACGCAATGCCCCTCTGGGCTGGCCCGGCGGGTGTCTGTCTGGGTGGTTTACTGTGCAGCTCCTCTGTGCCCGGGTAGAGATGCAGCCACTGGTTTAGTTCACTGTAGGGGATGGGGATGGATCGGGGGCCGCTTATGTCTTCCTGTCTGTCCCTGGCGCTCCTCTCCACAGGATCAGGGCGAGGCTTCACCAGTGGCTCCTGCCTCACCAGGGAAAAAGTGCTGCCCCCAGCCGGTCCCCAAACCCCCTTCACCCATCCTGCCCGATGCCCTGCTGGCCCCGCTGGAGAGGAGCGAGGCGAGAGAAGCACCAAGTGCCAGCTCCCCTGGGGGCCCACCTTACTCTAGGTGTGAAGCCCCCACGCACAAGCCCTGAGGCTTGCTCAGTTAACCCAGAGGGCAGAGAAGGACGGGTTGGGTTGGGCAGCTTGTCCTGACCTCGGGGAACCCAGAGGTCCTGGTTTCTGTGATGGGGGCTCCGCTGCCCTTCTGCAGATGATGGGTAGATACACCCGCCCTCCCTCCTGCCCACACACCCTAGCCTGGAGGTGCTCAGGGCTGCGAGGCCTCGACTGAACCCAACTTGGAGCCCAGGAGGGGTGCTGGTCGGGAGAGGCTGGGAGAGGCCCGCGGAGGCAGTGTCCTCACAGATTACAGTGCAGACGAGGTTTATTTACGGATGTGGGGAGAACATGGGAGGCTCCCGGCTGGCCGGCAAGGGGGCCATCAGTGGAGATTGGAAACAGATTCCCCAGCCAGGTCCCCGGCAGGCTCAGGAACTGCGGGCGGGGCGGGCGAAGGGGCCCTGTGTCGCCGGCCGACCCCAGAGAAGAGAACACGTGGTGCCTGATTCCCAGGGTGGGAGATGGCCAAGAATCCTTGAGTTAGAAGAAAACGGGGAATCTGAAGGTAGTGTGCGTGTGACCCCAAAGGGTGTCTAAAGCCCAGTACAGGGGCCTCTCTGGCCTCATCTTCCAGCAGATTCCATCACTGCTTAGGGGCTGGGCGCCATTGCAGCTGTTCCCAGAGCAGCTCACCCAGGGCCCCAGGCTCTCGGCCGGCGTCTGCTCACTCCGGCTCCCTCAGCACAGCCGCCAGCTCCCTCTGCTCCCCGTGCAGTGCCTGCAGTCAGCGGGGGGCACAGGCAAGTCAGGGCACCAGGAAACCCAGACCGGCCCCTCTGCTGTCCCCGGCTCTGGGCCTGGGTTTCCCCTGGACCACACAGATGGGGACGGTGGCTCATGTCACGGGCCCGGAGGGCGTGTGAAGGTGATGGAATGCCACAAGTCTCACCACTGAGCAGGTTTACATGGTGGTCAGGCCGGGCTCCCTAGAGCAGGGCCCGTCTTCAACAAGGGCGCCCAAAGGGGCCCCCCATCCCTGGGCCCCACCAGAGTTCTCTAGCAGAGAATGTTGCTTGATGTGGACTTTGAACGGCATGGAAATTCTGGGGAAGAAAAGCCCTCCGAAGCTCCCTCATGCGCGCTCACCCAGCTGTCCAAGTGGCCAGCTTAAACCGTGGTTGGGTCCTCCTGGCTGGCTGGCGAGGTTGGTACAGAGCAGGGGCCTCTCCCCCTCTACACTAAAGGCACTGCCTGGCACAGCTGGAGGGGCCCCAGGCAGATGTGGAAGCCAGGGCCCAGGGAGGGGGTGACCCGCGGCTCCTGGTGACAGACGGGCCCTGGCTGAGCAGCACGTGGCCTGAGAACTGAGGAAGGCGGCCCCAAGAGTGCACGAGAGCCAGCTCTGAGCTGTGGGGCCTGCCCCACAAGGCGGCACCAGGCTCTGAGCCGACGGCCTTGGTTAGGGCCACCTGCCTGCCTCCTGCCCAGTCGCCCAGGACCCGTCCGCTGAGCGGGGAGGCTGGAGGCATGGGACCAACCGGGAGCAGAGCAGGCTACCGGCCTTCCACCTCCTCCCCCAGGCTCAGGGCCCTGGCTGGGGCTGGGGCTGGGGCAGGCCCTTCAGGTGGCCGCCGGCTGGTCTCGGGAGGAGACCACCAGGAGGATGGGGAGCCACGGATCTGGGGACCCCTTCCCCTCTGAAGCGGGAGAGTCAGCCCAAGAAGGGAGCTGTCAGCAGTGGCTCTGAGTAGACATAAGTCGGGTATCTAAATGAAGGGCACGAGAATCCCACAGTGCTGCCGCCGCTCGACCCTACGGGAAACCCTCTCGGGCCAATACGAAGATGATCTCCTCACTTTGCAGCCACACCCGCTACCTGTGTCATCCAGCCCGGTCACCCTCTTCCCTCAACTTGGTCCCAAAGGGCACACGTTTGTCACGTGGAGGACAGATCACAAGACGTGTCACACGGTCTCAGGTGGTTCCAGTGAGCGGTTTTAAGGATGTGGCAACGGTCGCTGGAAGTGGAAGCGTGACCACCGGACACACAGGGTTTTAACTCTGATTCTGTTCACCTCGCGCCGGCTGCCTGCCCTCACGGGGCCTGTTTCCTTCTGTGACACCCCGGGCTGCTGCAGCGGGGGACCTGTGCCTGCGCTGTGGCCCCTCACCAGCCACAGCAGAGGTTCTGGGAGCCTGTGTGGCGGACGGCCACCGCAGCAGGCCCCCCTACTCCCACCACTGACCTTAGGTTGGCGTGGAGGAAGTCGCCCATTTGGGGGTCGGGGGCTCCCGGGGCAGGACGGGAAAGGGGGTGTACTGACCTGCCAGGCCTGCTGCCAGGCCTGGATCTGCAGCTGCAGCTCCTCCACCTGCCGGCGCCCGGCCAGGACGGCGTCCGCCAGCTGCCGGTTCTCGGCCTCCTGTTTCTGCACGCGGCGCTGCAGGGCGTCCCGCTGCTGCAGTAAGTAGGGCGCCATGGTGCTGCGCAGGTCTGCCTCCGGGATCCCACTAGGGCGCCTGCAGGGCCCCATGGGTCAGGGGGCGGGAGGAGAGGACGTGTCGGGGGCCAGGGTTCTACTTTCAAAGGCTTCAGCCCCCAGTGGGGCTGGTTCACTTCCTGAGACCCGCCCGCACGCCTGTGCTGAGCGTCAGTGCCCCAGGGTCCACCTCACCCCTTCTCACTCAGCCTGTATCTCAGCCTTCCCAAGCGCACCGCAGATTCTCCTCCTCTCTGCCACACCCCCTCCAGCTCTAACGCTCCAGGCCACTTTCCAGCCCTGCCTCTCCTTGTGACTGTGTGCCCTGCGGGTCCATCCACCCCATGAGCCTGGGAGCTTGAAAGATAGGGGGGCGGCTGCCTGGGACAGGGCCCAGCCCCGGGAGGCCCCGGGATGTGTTGGCTGATGTGGGAAGACAAGGAGAGACAGGGCAGGGGAGGCAGAGTGTCCACTGAGTGCAGGTCAGTTCTGAGGGGCTGTAGGGGGAACGCCACTGTAGGTTCCTTAAAAATATTTTTTTTCAGTTGTGAAACTTAATTCTCTTAAGTATTAAGGTCACAAAGCATAGAAAAATTGGAAAGTACCCAAAACGTCCGCTCCCTTTGGCCAGGGTTCTGTTCAGGGAGAGGGGAGTAGGAGGCAGGTGGCCTCGGGGCCTCTCCCCTCCTCTCCCCGCCAGCCCACTTCTCTCTCCTGAACAGACAGACCAGGCAGCTGGGCTGCCCTGGAAGTGTGGGCTTCAGGAGAGGAGGTATCTGTCTGGCTTGTTCTCAGCTGAATCTCTGGCATCTAAAACGGTATTGGGCGAATCACAGCAGGTGCTCTCTATTGCTGAATGAACAAATGAATAAAAACCAGATGCCCGGGCCAGCCTCATCTCCGTACGATTCCAAGCCTCGCTGTTTTCTTGAATTTTTGACACTTTGACACTATTGGCCAAGTATGTGGGCAATTTTTGTGAATGTTCTTTGTGTGCTTGAAAACACAGCAGTTTCTGTTTCCTGGGAGTAAAATTCTACACTTATTTATTGAACTTTTAAATTTTATTATTCAAATCTTCTATATGCTCATTTTTTAATCTTCTTGATTCATCCATTAATTTCTTTTTTAAAATCTCCAAGCACAGTTGTTGATATTATCTATTTCTCCTCATAATCTGTCCTTGTTGCATGATATACGCAGAGGCTATTATTATTATTATGAGGTGGAAGGGAGTTTATTACTCTAAGAGCAAAGGAAAGCCGTTGATGTTTTTTAAGTACTAACTGAGCTTTAAAAGATGCTCTGACCGCTCTGTAGACAACAGATTGCTGGCAGGGCAGGGCCGCCTTAAGGTCTAACTAAGCCCTAGAAACTATGATGGTTTTCAAACCCCAGCTCACATCATGTCAAATCTATTAAAAAGAGTCTGGTGTCTTGAGTTAGGTGGTGGTTATGCAAGGCTACACTTGTGATGAAAAGGCAAAGATGTACGCGCGCACACACACACACACACACACGCGCGCACACGCGCACACACACACAGGCGCACACGCGCGCGCACACACACGCACACGCACACACACACACACAGGGGCGCTGGTATAACTGTGCTGAATAAGCGCCGTGGATTGTTCCATGTCCGTTTTGTGGTTTCGATATTGTACCATAGCTGTGTAAGATGTTAACATTTCTCGACCTTGCAGCAAATCTATAATTATTTCAAAATAAAAAGCTCAAAAAAGGTTTATGTACAAAAGATATTCGTCATAGCACAGGCCAAGCAGGTCCTGAAATGCGCCCCCCCAGGAAGGCCTCCCAGGGTCCTGCCACAAACCGCCTCCCTTCCTAACCCCTGACAACCCGCAAGCTCTGGGGCTCTCTCCCACGGGGCACATACATCTCAGCCAGCCCTGGTGACTGCTCAGTGTCTGCCCTACCCACCTGCTCTGTCAGAGGGCCTCTCTCAGGGACCATGAGCCCGCTCCCTGTTGGGTCCCCCTTAAAGTCTCCTTAATGACGACAAAACGCTGCCCATCCCCCACCGGGGCTGGGGAGCGGCTGAGGGAGGTCAGGTTCCCACCCTCACCATGCTGGCTCCTTGCGGTCTCTGCCTTCCTCCACGATTTTGTCTAGGGAGTTCAGGATGGCTTCCAGGTTCCCCTCCTGTTTGATTTCCGAGATTTCCTCCTGAGGAGAAAGGAGGAAGGCGCTGTGATGATACTGGACAAGCGCAGAGGAGAAACAGGCTAAACCGCTAACAGTGCTTAGTAGGATTTTGGCTCATTTCTGTTCTGTGTCTTCACACTGTCCAACTTTTCCAGGACAGGTGACTATATAATGAAGAAGATAAAGTATGAAATGGAAAACACTGAGAACAAGCCTGCAGCGAGCCTCTTCCCACTGCCCATCTGAGCTGCCCAGTCTCTCCACCCTGGCGCTCAGGCCCCAGATCTTACGTCCCTGACCTGCCCGTCCTATTGCCCTGCACCTGCCCCCTCGCCCCGTCCTGCTGGGCCCCACACTCTCAGGGAGTGCAGGTGGCCAATTCCCGGGCCTGTGTCCCCACTCAGGCAGCTCCCCCACCCCGCCCTCCTCTCTATACTCCCTTCCACCTCCTCTCTGGCCGCGGTGCTGCTGGGACCCCCACTCCCAGAGTGCCCTTTGCTGACACCACGTTGTGATGCTTAATGGGACGATCCCGGAGGATCACAACACGGAAGTTCAACTCCCCAGGGAGATCACAGCTACTTTAAGACACGACTGAAATCATGTCCTTTTTAACAGTCCCTGTACTCTGCAGTTCCAGTGACTTCTAACGGTTTATTAGATACCTCCTCTGTGCCAGGCGCTATGCCAGGTGCTGGGCATACAAAGCTGAGTAAGAGTCAGTCCTGCCCATGCTGAGCTCACCTGTCTAGTGGGGCAGACAACACATAAACACACGATCACAACAGAGGACAATTCGAGAAGGAGGCATTTAAGAGACCCCCGCTGGAGGGTGACTGATGCTGCAGTCAGCTGGCGTGGAGGACGATTCTAGGGCCTGAGGAAGCATCCCTGCCCTCGGGACCCAAGCCAAGGGTACCCGCTGGTATCCGCCAAGTGGCACGGCTATCTCAACTGCCCTTCTCTAATTCTCCTCTACTGCCAACTCACCCAGATAGACGTCTGCAACTGAGTTATAAACTTGTCATAGATCCGCTGGGTCATCTCAGGCTGTAACTGGTAGAAGCGCTTGTAACAGTCAGTGAACCTCTGGTAGCTGGTGGGGGACAGAAGGCAAAGGCCGGGGGGGTCACACACACAGCAGGTGATCGCGCTCTTGCTGGGGCACCCCTGCTTCTCCGTCACAGGACTCTAAGCTTTGTCCACTTCATGACTCTGGTTAAAGGCCAAAACCCGCTGCTGTCGAGTCGCTTCCGACTCATAGCGACCCTATGGGACAGGGTAGAACTACTCCATAGGGTTTCCAAGAAGCCGCTGGTGGATTCAAACTGCTAACCTTTTAGTTAGCAGCCGTAGCATGCCGTAGCTCTTAACCACTGCGCCACCAGGGCTCCCTGGTTAAAGGCAGTGAATGCAAAATGTCCACCTGCAGCTCCAGTCACCAGGAATGCTCCAAATCTTAGCATGCATAAAACCACCAGGAGGGCTGGGAGGTGGCCTGAGAATTTGTGACCCTATAGGACAGAGGAGAACTGCCCCATAGGGTTTCCAAGGAGTGGCTGGTGGATTCCAACTGCCGACCTCTTGGTTAGCAGCTGAGCTCTTAACTGCTGCGCCACCAGGGCTCTGTTAACAAGTTCCCAGGTGATGCTGATGCTGTTAGTCTGGGGACCACACTTTGAGAACCTGTGGCCGAAGTTAATATTGGTCATTCCAGTCCGCTGTGCAGGACTAAAAGGTACCCAACGTATCCCAGTGCCTTGTCCCCTCTTGGACAAAGCCACTCAAATAAAACAACTCCCTTGGCCATTTCCTCTCCCTCCTCCTTGTTCTCCTGCCCATCTCTCTGCCCACCCTCTCAGGCCCTTCCCCTTCAGCTTGCCAGGAGCTTGCCAGGCCCTTCCCCTTCAGCTCGGTGCTTGCCAGGAGCTGGCTGGCCACCAGGCACTGGTGTTCAGGGGTGACGAGACTGAGGCAGCCCTCCTGGAGCTTACAGCAGAGGGAAAGATGAACAGCACACGCGCATATGAATGAACACAGGTAATTACCACATGTGGGCAGAGTGCTTTGCAGAAAAGGGGCCAGGGTTACGGGGCTGAGAGAGTGGATCACGAGGACCCTCTTCAGGCTGGGGGCCAGGAAGGCCTCTCTGATGACGCAGTGTTCAACTGACCTGCAGCAAGTTCTGAGCCGAGGAGGCTTCAAACACGGGAAAGCAGAGAGTCATGCTTTACTGAGTCAGCATGCTCCTCGGACAGGCTGGGGGCCCTGGATAAGCAGAGGATTAGGTACCGGGAGCCCCATGTGTCACCCTCCCCCCAGGGAATCACTGCTGGGCCTCCCTCCCTGGTGGCTCTTGAGGCCTCCCCACCCTGCCCAATCCCTACCCACAAACCCACTTTTTTAAAATAGGGGAAGAGGAAGAGCAGGGGTATGCTGGAGCCAGCTCACAGCAGCTTGCAAGAGACAACTGTTAACTTTTCAGGAATTTGTGAGCCAGTTGTTGAACATTGCCACTATTGAAAATGAAATCATACCTTCCAATTAAACAAATATTAACAACAAAGACACTGAATACTCAAAACTTACCGCTTCCCAACTGTTGGACCACATTTTACTCTGCTCTTGAGGTTATCTGCACTTATTTCATCTCTCTGGTGAAAATACTATATCAAGCTGCTTATCCCTATGTCCTCCCTGGAAACCCTACGAGGCAGTTCTACTCTCTCCTATAGGGTCGCTGTGAGTTGGAATGCACTCGATGGAAACAGCAATGGGTGTCCCTTCCCAAGGGCCCTGGTAGTGTAGTAGTTAAGAGCTACGGCTGCTAAGTAAAAGGTTGGCAGTTCGAATCCACCAGGTGCTCCTTGGAAACCCCATGGGGCAGTTCTACTCTGTCCTATAGGGTTGCTATGAGTCGAAACTGACTTGACGGTAATGGGTTTTTTTTTTTTTTTTTTGGTTCCCACCTCTGGTCAGTGACATCATAGTGACTGCATAGGCGTACGTACACTTCAGAAACCGCAGACCCTGCAGATCAAGGCTTCCTCAGAGCACTGGCTGTTAAGCATTTACCAGCACACTTCTGAGTAAGGTTGACAATCTCCCACCTTGTCATCAATGACACATGTTCGATATTAGCACCTTGGAGGCTAAAGCTAAGGTGTCAAAGGAAAATACAAAGAACGGATATGGTGTCCCTTCAATCCTCAGCACAGGCCCCGACATCCTGGTGTTTTGCTGCTGGCCCCACTAGCTAGCCACGTAGTGTGTGGCTACTCGGAGGAATGCGGAGGAACATATGACGCCTGACCAAGCGGGGCTGGAACCGAAACTGGGTAATTGTGGCTGAACTGGGTTTGGCGTGGACACGGAGATCCGGTGCTTCCGCCCAGTGCCCTCGGCAGGCGGAGGCTGGAGCTGGGCAGCCGGCAGCGGGGAGGGGATTCCGCCCACAGTGCCGCCCAGGAACTCTTCTGGAGCCCCCTTGGGGTGTGAGAATCCAGGGACAGTGAAAGACCCCAGAAGCACGCACGTTTATAAAAATACGCAAGATGGGAGTTCATGGTGCTCAGGACAATGCGGCCTGACCAAGGAGCGAAGCCGGCCAGGTTGGGGGCGGATGTCAGGGTGCGCAGGAGGAAAGCGATTCCTTTCTGAGCCAGCAGACTCGGGAATGGTTCGAATGCCGTTGTGGATTTCCTGAACTATACACTCAGGAAGCAGCATGAAGGTGATGCATTGTAGAAAACATTCATGCCCCCCGCCGCCTAAGTGTCCAATCTTCTCATGCAAACTATGCATAGGAATCCCATGTGCCGTGTCGCTGGGATCTACTCGGTGTCCAGAACAGGGTTACAGGCACAGCAGCTGCAAGCTCTGGAGACAGAACGGCCGGGGCTGAGCGAGGCCTGCCCCACTTCCAGCCACCTCTTCCACTCTGGGCCCCAAGGTCCCGAGGCCTAGGCTGCTGGGGTGGAAGCATCCTCTGGACAAGTATCCCCAACAGTGTCTCTGCCAACGCCCCTCCTTGCCCCACTAAGACAGTCTCCTGGCCTTGGCCTCCCAAGGGGCCACAAAGGGCCATTCAGCTATGCATTGGCTCTAAGGACAGGCTGCCTGGGTTCAAATCTCACCTTTACCACTCATCACCTGAGTGATCCTGGACAATCTCTTCACTTCTCTGAGCCTCAGTTTTATCCTTTGTCACATGGGGATAACTGTATCTGTACCTCACAAAATTACTGTGAGGATTAAATGAGTTTACATATAGAGTCAGCACAATGCCTAGCAGACTGAAATGCTCTGTGTTAGCTACGGCCATTAATGTTCTCAAAACAACAGTCCTCCTCCCCTGAGAGGTGTAGGGCGCGGTCAGTAACTCAGCCCCCACCCTGAGGCGTCTCTCCTTCGGGATGCTGGGGCCTAGGAAATGCATCTTGGTTACAATTAGGAATTCTCCCCACTACAGAAAAAAGGCTAAATTGTGGCTTTATCACCAGTGAAAGTAATTTTCGAAAACCACATTTACTGAGTTTCAAAACTGAGATGATAAATTAACTGACTTTAATCTATTTTTTTCTCTTAAACACTTATTATGCAATGTTTGAGACACCTTCACTGTTTTGGAACTCACGGAAAAAGCAGTTCATTTACTGCCCTAAAAATTCATCATAAATTAAGCTGTCACAGAAGTTTAACTTAAAAAAATTTTTTTAACTTCAAAATATTTAAGCCCAGAATCAGTTTAAGCTCTGGTGGTTTGCCAGTCTGTCAGCTTATATATGTAGACACGTTGTGCAGGGAACCACGGAAAGATGAAAGAGGCATAGACAAACAAACCATTTCCATAACACATGGTCAGGCAATATGTGTACACAGCGCTATTTCTGTTTCTGTTATTGTTAGGTGCCGTCGAGTCAGTTCCGATTCATAGCGACTGTCTTAGTTATCTAGTGCTGCTTTAACAGAAATACCACAAGTGGATGTCTTTAACAAAAAGAAATTTATTCTCTCACAGTTTAGGAAGCTAGAAGTACAAATTTAGGGTGCCAGCCCCCGGGGAAGGCTTTTTCTCTCTCTGTTGGCTCTGGGGGAAGGTCCTTGTCATCAATCTTCCCCTGGGTCTAGGAGCTTCTCAGTGCAGGGACCCTGAGTCCAAAGTACGTGCTCCGCTCCTGGCTCTTCTTGCTTGGTGGTGATGAGGTCCCTCTCCTCTCTGCTCACTTCTCTCTTTTATATCTCAAAAGAGACTGACTCAAGATACAACCTAATCCTGTAGATTGAGTTCTGCCTCATTAACATAACTTCCTCTAATCCTGCCTCATTAACATCATAGAAGTTAAGATTTACAACATTTAGGATAATCAGATCACAAAATGGTGGACAACCACACAATACAGGGAATCATGGCCTAGCCAAGTTGATACACATTTCTGGGAGATACAATGCAATCCATGACAGCCACCCTATGTACAACAGAACGAAATATTCCCAGGTCCTGTGCCATCTTCACCATCGTTGCTATGTTTGCGCCCACTGTTGCTGCCACTGTGTTAATCCATCTCACTGAAGGTCTTCCTCTTTTTCAGTGACCCTCTACTTTACCAAGCATGATGTCCTCCACGGACTGGTCCCTCCTGATAATATCCCCAAAGTATGTGAGACAAAGTCTCACCATCCTCATTTCCAAGGACCATTCTGGCTCTACTTCTCCCAAGACAGACTTGTTGGTTCTCTGGTGGTCCATGGTATATTCAATATTCTTCACCAACACCATAATTCAAAGGCATCAATTCTTCTTCGGTTTTCCTTATTCACTGTCCAGCTTTCACATGCATATGAGGCAATTAAAAATATCATGGCTTGGGTCAGGTGCACCTTAGTCCTCAAAGTGACAACTTTGCTTTTTAACATTTTTAAGAGGTTTTTGCAGATTTGCCCAATGCAGTATGTCGTTTGACTTCCTGACTGCTGCTTCTGTGGACATTGATTGTTGATCCAAGTAATCCTTGACAACTTCAATATTTTCTCCATTTATCATGATGTTGCTTATTGGTTCAGTTGTGAGGATTTTTGTTTTCTTTATGTTGAGGT